ATAGATAGTACTAACTTCTAACTGATTAAGTTTGATTTTTAGTGAATCATGCCAATAAAGTGGTTTGAAATTAAAGAACAAAAAAATATAAGATTCAAGTAAATTGTATGATAATAGAATACAATCTTACATGATAGATAAGAATTAATAGTCATCAATTATTATTATATAATTTTCCTATAAGTTTCCATTTTTCTGATCATCATTTCTTTATTTATAAAAATTAAAATGTATCTTAGAAAACAATTATCCGATATGAAAAACACAAGAAAAAATGTCAAGAGTTAATACAATCTAAAAAAGGTGCTCTTGATAGAGTCATTGTTAAAGAAATACAAAATAGAAACTATGTACTTGAAACTTCAATGGAGGACTTGGCTAATGACCATCATCTAAATCAAGAAGAGGAATTTGAATTTAATGAAAATGATTAAAATGAAAAAAAAAGTATTGTTGATGATGAAGTACATATGATATGATGTAAAACTAACATTACAAATGATTGAATTAATAATATTAATAGGTCCATTTCCCCAATATTTATGGTCTAAGGACCAGGGATTATCTTGAGATTTGTTAGTAGTAAATGGTTCGATAAGAGACGTTCCATTAAAAAATGGTCATGAAGATTAATATTCCCAATATTTATGGTCATGCATTTATCTAGTTCACCAATGAAACTTGGCATCCACTTCTTTGACAATGGTAGGGGAAAGTCTTGATAACTGTAAAATTTCACATCATTTACATATGAGAAAGATAAGGAAAATATTCATAAATATCCCACATTTAAATAAATGTTTCATAATCCCGAGTTAAATTTTTTGAAAAATATTGTGTTATATTTCATTTCAAAAAGTGCAATATTTCATTTTGTTCGAGCTTGTCGACACTGGATTTGGTTCTAGAGAGAAATTGCACAGAAGGCCGATGAGGAAACTATTCGAAAATGATTTCAGAAATGGGAAAAATATGGGATTGGATATGGAAGGTGTAAGCAAAGAGGTCATTCCACATTTTGCACAAAAGGTCGTGTTGGAAGTGACGTAAGAACGGATGACCCTTTTGATAGTTTCATGGAAATTGAGATGAAGCTGGAATTTTTCAAATTTGGGGTATAATAATAAATTTACTGATCTCATGTCTGGTGTAGATTAAAATAAGAATTTTAGTAGATTTTAATAAAAATTAAAAAAATATATGATTAAAAAATTGGGGGTTCATTAAAATTTGTGACTTTTAATCTATACGAAACAGATGCTAAATCTCATTAAAGTAGAGAGTTTGATGTGATCATAAGAAAAGTAGATGATACGCTGGAAACTCAAAAAGTAACATTTTACATAGAACTGCAAACATCACAAGAAAAGTATCCAAAGCAAAAAATTATTAAGCGCTGAGAAAACTATCAGACTGTAGAGAAGAAATGGAGGAAAGCAACGACGTTTCAGAGTCAACACCAGCGGCGGCTTTGCGGCTAAAATGGGACGTGTTTCTGAGCTTCCATGGCGAAGATGCCAGAAATAATTTCGTCGATCTTCTTTACAACTCCCTCTTGTCCAATGAGATCCGAGTGTTTAGAGACAATGATGGAACGAATCGGGTCGTTGAGATAGCTCCGAGTTTTTTCGAAGCGATTGAGGACTCGGCGGTGGCTGTTGCTGTTATATCGCCGAGTTATGCATCCTCACCGTGGTGCCTGGAGGAGCTGGCCAGAATTTGCGAGTTAAGGAAACTGGTGCTCCCCGTGTTCTTCCAAGTAGATCCGTCGGACGTGAGGAGGCTGGAAGGGCCATTCAAGGAAGATATTGAGAGTTTGGAAGCAAGGTGTGGAGTAGACAAAGTGAAGAGATGGAGGAATGCCATGGAAAGAGTTGGAGGAATTTCTGGTTGGGTCTACAACAGCAGGTTAATTTATATACTCTCTCTCTCTCTCTCACATCCATATGAAAAAAACACTAAATTACATGATTCTTGGGAAAGTAGCACCTGTATCTTGGTGTTATATACCCAAAATGTTCAAATAGTTTTAACATTCATTTTTTGACTAGATGAATTTTTTCCCATAAAAGAGTGAAGAATAAATAATCTGGAAAAATAATTTATGAGAAAATGAAAGTCTCACATTTGAAGCTTAAAGAGGACAAACAAGCAATTTGATAGGAGTTAAACGAGCAATTAAATTAATTGTTGATGTTCTCAAAAGATTTACCATTTTATGGAAGCATGAGCATGTTTATTGACAAGTCAAAAATTGCAAGATTTGTACAGCTTTTCTCGGCAAGAGAGAAAGTTATGAATACGAAAGGACAGTAATGTTTATTGGTAGGGTTCAATGTAATGAATGTGTCCAAAAACCAGTATTGTCACCTCATAATTGATGTAAGTTTGGGCAGGAAAATGAAGTGCAAGGTTAATTTTTCTCTACAAAACTCCTAAAATTGCTGGATGTAATTTATAAATGAGTTCAGCATCACTCATGTTTAACATCCGAAATTTTAAGCTTCGGCTCGAGTAAAATGACCGAGCCTTTTTCCGGGCCCAAGCCTTTACTCGGCCAAAAAAAAAAGGCTTGGCCCGAGCTTTTCGGCTCGGGCCTTTCCAAGCCGAGCCGGGCCTTTTATATATATATATATATATATATATATATTTTGTTTTTATTATTTTTTTTTTCCTTCTTTCCTATAAACATGGCAGCTGGTTGCTGCCTTTAATTTTTTTTTTTTTTTGTTTTTGTTTTTCTGTTTTTTTATAAATATAGGCTTGTAAGCCCAAGCTGACGAGTCACACGGGCCGGCTCGGGCTTTGCCCGGCTCCCCAAAATGAGCCTTGAGCCGAGCCGAGCCGACGAGTCCGATTGCCATCCCAATGTTTTCCCCATTCTCAACTTCTCCCTACACAAAATTAAAAAATTTAACATACAACACAAACATGCACTTTCCTTTTTCCTAATTTTCTCTTCTTTCTAAAATTTGTTTTTTTCTCTTAATCCCTCACTTTTGGTTGAAATTAATTTTTTTCTAAAATTTGTCTAGGGGTGGGTGCGAGTCGGTTCGGTTCTAAAAAGAACCGAACCGAACCGAACCGAACTTTTCGGGTATTTAGTTAATGGAACCGTCGGGTTCAAATATAATTATGGAACAGTTCGGGTTCGGGTTCGGTTCGGTTCTGTACTATAATTTAATTTTTTAACATTTATAAAAACATTATATAAATACAACTAATAATACATTCAATGGTTTTGGAATTTAAGAGACTAGTAAACTATCTTGTTCAAATGATCGCTACTATCAAAGCTTCGATTGGCGAAAGTCACAGTGTCGGCCAATGATTGTATAGGTTTTGGAATATTAGCGAGGCTGCGAGATTGGGTGCGAGAGTTGAGACAACGTTATGCACTTTAGTGTTTGTGTTTAGAGTTATTTAGTGGATTTGATCTTGCTTGGCTAAGAAATGAAACAATAAAATGGGTAATTGGGCCAAAAATTAAAAAATTAGAAATGAAACAAATTATTGGGCCAAAAATTTGGATTTAGAAATCGTTAATTTATTAATTTGTTTAGAAAAATTAAAATTAAAATAATTTGATTTACTCAATATAAAAAAAAAATTAGAAAAATTCAGTTCTTATTCGGTTTTTGGTCTAGAACCGAGAACCGAACCGTACCCGTCGGTTCTCAATTCAGATACTTGTTCGGGTATTTAATTTGACAAGAACCGTCGAGTTCGGTTCGGTCGGTTCGATTCGGGAGATTTGCCCAGCCCTATGCACGTCAATATTTATAAAGTTGGTCACCTCAGTTTTATGGTAAATTTACTTTTCCTAATTTTAGTAGAAATTTCTTTTCTTAATTATCCTAGGGTTCCTCCCTTACCATTTTCTATTGGCAGTCGATTTCCTTTTCTCTGTTGCTAATTGAATTATGCCAACATTATTTACAATATTGATCCCTTAAAGTTATTCCAATATTTATTTGAGTGAGCCCCAACACTCACGTGTGGCCAGAATTCATTTTTCCTCATAAAGCCTATATGTGCACAATTTTAATAAATGTGTGACAAAGAGCCTTGATTTCACGACCTTTGCCTCATACAATGTTGAACAACTTAATTTGAAAGCATAAGCTATTGGATATGGATAAGTCACATCTATATCGCTTGTTTAGAAGTTATTGCCATCAATCTAGTAAGTTTTTAAATATATTATTAACTATCAAATATGATAATTATTGAATATATAATGAAAGTGAACATTCATATATGTGTTATATGATATACTGATCAACAAAATGCTGGCATCAAAATTCCATTTGAAAGGAATATCTGTACAAAGTTAAGACAAGGCGTTTCTCGTGTAACTTTTGGGATGCTAGAAAAATTCATTTCATATATTTTGTTTTAGGGTTTTTCATAATTATTGTTGGTTTTTTTTTAACACCTCACAGGTAGATTTAATAATTGTAAAGATAAAACGTAGTACATACATAGTAGAGGATTTAGCTAAACCTATAGCTAATAATGCAAAAAAAATATAAAAATAAAACTAAAGTTACTTTATTTTCTGTAGTCCTGCACCTTATAATCATATGCCGAGTGTAGTTTCTCTTTGGCTCCTGGTCACTTTTGGACTCTTCACTTGAGGGAGATTTTCGTATATTAATTATCATGCCTAATGTCTAAATTCTGTTCCATAGCTTTGTCTCAATTCCCACACACTTTTATATCCAATCTCGTATCGATCATTTTCAACTAATTCCTATATAGAAATATTGTTCAATGTTTTCTTAGGACCAAACCCAAAGTTAGCATGCTTCAACAATACCATAAAATCACCTTCCACATTTTGCTCATGTACACTAGGAACCAAAACCTCTTTATTTTTGCTTTTTAACTCCCAGCACCTTGGATGATTGAGTAGGCCTCTAAATTATCTACTTGTTGATAATTTGACTTTCTAGTCGAGCCACCATTAATAGTTTTAGCTAAAGTAACATAGGACGCAATGCAATGAATAAAGAACGAGATTGAGGGGAAAAAAAGAGAGAGAAAGAGGGATAGGGAAAGGAAAGGAAAGAAAGAATTTAAAGAAGGAAATATTAGTTTTTATTCAATATCAAAGTCGTCCGTATTACTATGCATAAGCTTCCTTTATATAGGGTTTCAAAAATCTATTTTAAGTAGGAAACATCAGAAAAAATCATAAAGAATCTAGTAAATAAACATAATAAAACCTAAGAAATCTAGT